ATACCATTTTAGCCATCCATTAATATTTTTTATTTTTTTCCCCCCCCAAAATATTTAGTGACCCCCATATATATCTATACCAATTTAGCTACCCATTATAATATTAGTGACCTCATATCTATCTATATCCATGTATACACCCATTATAATATTTAAATACATGTTTTAATCATTAATGACCTCATATCTATATATACCCAGTTAGACACCCATTATAATATTAAAATATATCAATGAATAAATATATAGTGACCTCATACAGTATATCTATCTAAGCCCATGTAGCCATTCTTTATCATATTAAAGTGTACATTTTAATATTTATCAACTGCATATATCTATCTAAGCCCATGTAGACACCCATTCTAATATTAAAATATATACATTTTTAGTGACATGCTCAAGCATGCAGCTAAAACCACCCGAGAATCTGTGACTTTCCCACAAACCACCAGGTGAAGATTTAATGCAGTTACTGCAATTCATTACTGTTCAAAACAACCAAACACACTCAGATGAACTGTGTTTTTAGGTAGTAACCCATTGTTTAGTGAGATGAATGGTTAGAGAAGAGGTCAATCAAAACCCAAACCACAGCAAAACCACCACAAACCCTCACAAAAACCAACGACCTTCCTCTTACCTCACAGAGCTGAAGAGACAGAGACAAACGCAGTCACTTTACGATGCTGTGAACACTGACCAGACAATACAGAACTGAAAGAAAGGCTCCTCTACCTGTGACTTTGTGCCCGGCGTCATGGGATTACTGAAGTTGTTCAAGTCCCAGATGTATATTTCTGAATCGCTGGCTCCGGAGGCGATGAGGTTACTCTGATGCGGAGGAAACACGCGTGTGTTTGTGAAAGCGTCAGCGGATGTGATCGGATGTTAAGCGAGAGTCTGAGCTGTACCTGGAAGCGGTTGTAGTCGAGCGCGTGCACAGGGCCTGTGTGTTTGTTGGACTGTCCGATCACGGCGTCCTCTGCCGCGCTGAGAATAGCATCGGGGCTGAAGACGGTCACGCTTCCGCTCTCACTGCCGCCGATGAGCCGCCCGGACGAGCCCTTCACCTCCATATCAAACGCCACCCAGATCAGACTGTGAAACCTGACACACACACGATTCAACTCATGTCTGATTATTTTCAGCTACAATTATTAAACAAATTATTACATTAAAAAACAAACAAAACAATAAATGCACAAATCCCATGTTCATTAGATATGCTAAAAATAAAATATTATCTATCATAATACTGTATGTGACCCTGTACCACAAATCCAGTCATAAAAATTGAGATGTATGCATCATCTGAAAGCTGAATAAATAAGCTTTCCATTGATGTATGGTTTGTTAGGATAGGACAATATTTGGCCGAGATACAACTATTTGAAAATCTGGAATCTGAGGGTGCAAAAAAATCTAAATATTGAGAAAATCATCTTTAAAGTTGTTCAAATTAAGTTCTTAGCAATGCATATTACTAATCAAACATTAAGTTTTGATATATTTACGGTAGGAAACTTACAAAATATCTTCATGGAACAGGATCTTTACTTAATATCCTAATGATTTTTGGCATAAAAGAGAAATGTATAATTGTGACCCATACAATGTATTGTTGGCTATTGCTACAAATATCCCCCAGCGACTTAACACTGCTTTTGTGCTGCAGGGTTAAATTTTTACATTAGCAGCATTTTGTGCACCACTAGCTGGTCCCCACTGAGTGATAACTTTAGGCAAAATCTGCAACCTTGACACATTACATGTACTTTTAGATGAATATGAGACAAAACTACAGAATGCCACATTTTATTATTAGCCGTTTCAGCACATACATGTTTTACCAAATAAAAAAGGACAGCACTTTTAGAGTTCATATGTGAGCGTAAGTATTGGAACAGTTACTGTAAAGGATTAAAAGCTATTATTTAGTGCGTGCGATCACACAGACATCACCAGACTCTGGGTCTTCTCCTTTGAAATGCGTTTCTCAGCCTTTAATGCAGCCAATTCCAGCGGTTGCTTGTTTTGGGGAGTTTCTGCCTTTAGTCTCCTCTTCAGCTGGTGGAAATTCATGTTCAGCCAGATTTAAATCTGGAGATTGATTTGGGCAATCTAAGACTCTATGTTTCTTTGCCCTGATAACCTCCTCGACTGAACTGGCAGGGTGTTTTGGATCACTGTCCTGATGCAATATGAAGCACTTTCTGATGAGTCTGGTGGCCTTTTCTTGAATATTGGAAGCCAAGATGGTTTTGTACCCTTCTAAATTCATTCAGCTGCTGCCATCATACGTTAAATCATCATTAAATTTTTGTTGCTGATCAGAGGTTTGCATCTTGCTGTAGCTTCTGTAATTCTGTGTCGAAGTCTCCTGCGCACAGTAGATTGTCAGAGCCTCACCCAGCTTTCTGGAGGTTGTTGGTGATTTTACGGTTCATTTTCACAGCTTTTATGATTTGTCTCTCATTGCCGATCAGGTCGTTGTTAGTTGCTGATGGTTTCCAAACTCTTGATTTCTCCACGCTCTTTGTTTTTAATTGACTTCCTCTTTTCTTTTAGCATCCAAATTGCTTGCTTTTCTCTCATCTTCATCCTGGTTTGCGTGTGTCGTCATCAAATGCAGAAGCTACGGATATAACTGATACCACACATTCCCTGCTTTTAATATCTGAAGAATTAATGCAACGGGACACAGCCGATCACTTACAGAGAACTGTGAGGCAACTGCTCCAATACTTGTGCTCACATCAGATAGTGGGATGAAACTAAAAGTGCTGTCCTTTTTATTTGGTGAAACATCTATGTGTTGAATCACCCAATAATCTCATATTAATCTTTTAATCATATTTGCAAATGTCTTGACTCCACAGCAAACAGTACTTATGGAGGGTACTATATACACACACACACTCACTCTCTCTCTCTCACACACACACACACACACTCTCTCTCTCTCTCTCACACACACACACTCTCTCTCTCTCTCTCACACACACACACTCTCTCTCTCTCTCTCACACACACACACTCTCTCTCTCTCTCTCACACACACACACTCTCTCTCTCTCTCTCACACACACACACACACACAGTAGTCAACATTTGAAGTGGATCAAAACCTTTCATCAAAGTTGTCCTAAAATGTGTTCTTGTGTTAGGTCAACTTTGATTAATTTTTTTGAGCCACTTCAAATGTTGACTACTGTATATACACACACATATACATACATATATATATATATAACTAATAACCCGAGAGAAAAACTGGAAATTCCATTTTTGTGCCAATTTGTAAAACGACAAATTGATAACACTTCAGTGAGAGTGACACACGACGAAACCGGTTCACACACGTGTGTTTGTGCGTGTTAGATCGCCCAGAACTCATTCTGCTCTCTAAACCAAAGCTGCTGTTCAACCGGTATTTCTGCTATTGTGTCACTGCTGGGGGGAAATGCTATTAATATAAAGATAAATTCAGGAAGGCACATCACCAAACTGCTGCAGCTCCATCACTTCATGCCAGAGCTAAGTAGACGTTTTGAATGTTTTCTGTAGAGCTCAGTGTGGAGAGAGATTGTAATAAACATTCCTAACACACCCAGACAATCCCTTCACAAATACCTTCAGACGAGGACACCACCTCAACGAGATTTCTACACATTCTGAATGTGTACGTCTACGCAAAAGTCATTTAAAATTTATGTAAAACGCTTTTAACATTCGGTAACTTTTTCTTCTTCTCTTTTTTCGTGAAAGCCTAAACGCTGTTCTTTCGAATCTGTGAATCCTGAAAAATAAAATGCATCACGGTTTCCACACAAATGATCGCGCCGCACGACTGCGTTCAACGTCGCTGATAATCAGAAACGTGTCTCGAGCAGCAGATCGGCATATTTTCAATGATTTCTGAAGATCATGTGACACTGAAGACTGGAGTCATGATGCAGAAAATTCAGCTTTTGATCACAGAAATAAATTACGGTTTAACAGATATTCACATAGAAAACGGCTATTTTAAATTCTAATAATATTTCACAATTTTACAGTATTTTTGATCAAATAAATGCAGCCTCGGTGACTTCAAAAACATAAAAAATCATGCAGACCCCAAACTTTTGAATGGTATGCTGTATAATATACATCATATGGCAGCAGTACTGTATGATATTCCAAACACAGTCGAAGTTTCCAGAATAACGGACCTGTTAGAAGTGGGCAGAGTGCCTCTGAGCTTCATGTCCATGGAGGAGTCAGCGAAATCCATCTCGAAGATCTCCAGAGCGGCGCTGGTGTTGAAGGATGCATCCAGCTGCTGCGCTGCGGTTCCTGCAGACACGAGACAGTGAAGAAGACCAGATCACTCCAGCATTCTGGATGCGTCTGAATAATACAAGCACCAGCTGACAGGTGAAGTCACCTAAGGCCAGGTACACGGGGTGCTTCGTCGCAGGACTCCACGCCTGTGTCGCCGTCCTGAGTATCTCCTTCACCCTCATCTTCCTCCCAAATCCTGAAGAGAAGAGAACATGAGGAGACAATCTGACATGCCATGCATCTGCATTCATCAGAATCAGAATCAGCTTTGTATGTTTACACATACGAGGAATTTGTTTTCGTGACTTCCAACACAATGACAGTGACACAGATAATGAAAGAATAAAAATAGAACAAGTAAATAGGGAATAACAACAAATAGACAATTTTGTATGTACGTGCAAACTCGAAATGCAACTAAGTATGTCATTTAACAACGTCAGATCAGCCTAAAGAACCCGTATCTTAATCTTAAGTTAAATAAAAACGCTTAGAAACAACATTAACACGAAAAGAGTAGCACTACACTGCGTCAAATACAGCATACATTACGTCTCAGACTCCAATTATATATATAGTATCAGATTAATTTTTCATCCTCGTAAACTATACGTGTAATACACGTCTCGTGGAGGCTATATAGAGCAGAAATGTATGTTTATAATCGCAGGTTATTCCTGATTATCTGCTTTTAGCGTTAGCATTAACCTGCTAACGCTCCACAAACCTAAACACACGGATGAGATCGCGATCACACACGCCATTCTAACCTCACAACCTCGATTTAATCCTAAAAACGTCTGATTACAGCAAGTGTTGTGTGTGTACTTACGGTTGTTTGTGACTATTAGTCTCGTTTGTGTGTTGAAGAGAGTTTAGCGGCGCTCCTCGCGCGGCGCTCATGGGGAATGTAGTCCGGCGCGGGATTGTAGTCCAGTACGGCAGCCGGCGAGGGACAGTGTTTACGAAACGATGAGGACTCGAAACTGCCAATCTGGCGACGCGATTTATATTTCTGCTAACGCCAACATCGCTTAAATTACTAATTAAATTAAGCCAACAGTGCCAATATAAAATTTACTTTAACATTTAGGAGATTTTATAAGTGAAAAAGCCAGCTACACACAAATTATATCAATTATTGTTTAACACTTAATGCTGTTCTTCTTAAAAGCATTTTTTTTTTAGAACTTTTAGTTCAAAGACATCCCATCTGATGTTAAAAGGTAATACAATTATTGATTTATTACATATATAATATAAATGCACGTAACTAACACGCATCTGAACAGCAGACTCCACTTACATGGAACAACAGATGTTCTCTTAGTTTCAAAAATGTTATTTATATCATTATTAGTAATTATACTACACATAATGAAGTGCTGATGACGGTTTAAGGTCTCATTTGAATGAAAGGTAAGAAATGGTCAATCCGACAGATGACGTTTAAGTTAACTTTATTAGAGAGACAGAAATATACACAAGTTATGCAACGGAGAGGTTTCTAGCATTAGATTTCATAATTCTTGACAGGTTCTGGTTCTTTCGCAGGATCTCCGCCTCTCTCCAGATACAGGTCGCTGTAAGGATACTGTTTAGGAGCCTGGAAAGAGAAACACGCTGATGATGAGACTCATTCATAACATCTGTGGAATACTATGTACTGTTAAAATAACCCTGGTGTGCAATTGGTTGCAAAAAATCACAAGCTAAAAGAGTTTGCAATTCCTAGTTTGCTAGTGATGCAGAAATAACACGCTTCCCTTTGAAATGTTCTGTAAATGAACCGTTTTTCTACTGTGCAGTTCTCCCTTTACTCACCACAGGCTGGTAGCAGGGGAACATCTCTCCCAAACCAAACATCAGCAGCATGAAGCCCACGAACCCCAGCAGCTGGTTCCGCATCGTCCTCCACTCCACGGGGCTCGGAGACGTGTCAACCCTGTTCCTGATGTACATGTCGAAGTCCCAGTGCATCTAAACAAACAGCACAAAATATTCACTCTCTCTAGTAAAAGAAAAGGTCTGAATCGGGAGAGAATCTGCAGAGATCAAGCACTGTTTACAAGCCAAAACAGCTCTGAACAAATACAGTATGTGTGTGGGTTTTGATGTGAGATGGACTTTTTCACTGGAGGCTAGGCTTGCCGCGGTTGATGGTGATACCGGTGTTAAGACGCAACACCGGTTACGTCACATGCCCACCGCGGCACCGACCCCCACCGTCGTTTTGATTTTTCATAGTAATAATATAAAGTTAGTTCATTTAGAAAACAGACACTGCGATTAAAAACTGAACGCGGCTGCTCATTGCAGCATGCCGAACGACATCAAGATTTAATTTATCACGTGAGGAGAGTGAGGTGAGACGGACGAGACGATAGCGAATGAATTAGTTTCGAAACGAAATGCAAAAGCGCCTGTTTGGCAGTATATTGAATTTTGAAAAGCCTGTTAACTTTTGCCGTTTATCCAAGATGATTTCGGAAGTTTTTTTAAACACTCGTTTCTTATTTAATTGGTTTCACAGTGTTCGCTGATTTTTACTTTATTTGAACTTTAATTTATTTATTTTAATTTGCCATCAAGGTGTATGCCGCGCCTCCAAGCTTTCTTACTCGTTTTGCTAATAAACGTTCTACGTTTCTTATTTATTTGGTTCCACGGTGTTTACTTGTTTTCAGTTTTGTAGACCTATTTAAACTTAAGTTATTTGTTATTTTATATTAGGCCTAGCCTATAGCATGGTGTATTTTTATTCGTTTTGTTAATAATAGTTCTATGATTTATAAATAGGTTCTATGATTTAAAGTAAGTTTGGCGTTGTATTTTGACGCCGAATTGACGCTAATTTGAAAGTGAAAGTAATATACGCACGCCACATTTACAAGCTATTTAAATCTATTTATTCTCTTTTTAACACCATGCCAGCATCAAGGCTATTTTCATGGCGATCTCTGAAAAAATTATACAAGGTATACAATTAAAAAAAAAGACATTTCAAACCTACACTAGACAAAAATTATAAAAAAAACATTCAGGTGATACATTTTTTAAAAAATCAGTTAAACAAACCTCTGAATAAAACCGTTGCCTATTTACAGTGAGTCGAGCTGACTGACAAGAAGAGTCAGGTGAGACATACAAGACGATCGCGGATGATTTAGTTTCGAAACGAAATGCAAAAGCGCCTGTTTGGTCGTATTTTGGATTTTGAAAAGCCTGTTGACTTTTGCCGTTTATCTAAGCTGATTTTGGAAACATTCGTTTTATATTTAATTGGTTCCACATTGTTTGCTGATTTTTACTTTATTTAAACTTTGTGTCATTTATTTATTTTATTTGACATCAAGGTGTACGCCGTGCCTCCAAGCTTTCTTACTCGTTTTGCTAATAAACGTTCTACTTTCTTATTCATTTGGTTACATATTATACATGTTTACTTGTTTCCAGTTTTGTATACCTATTTAATCTTTATGTAAGTTATTTGTTATTTTATATTACGCATAGCCTGCCCTATAGCATGCTGTATTTTTATTCGTTTTGTTAATAAAAGTTCTATGTTTTATATATAGGCTAAAGTGAGTTTGACGTTGTATCTTGTTGTTGCATTCAAGCAATTGACGCCGACCTGCCACTAATTCGAAAGTGAAAGTAAAATGCGCACAGCGCTTTCAAGCTATTTAAAAGCGAAGGAAAGCGAGGAAAAGCCCCAGTGGTGACACCGGTATTGTCACACGTCGATTAACCGGTGGGAAAATTTCCTCACCATCACAACCCTACTGGAGGAAGCTTATTATGGATTATGGGTTAAAAGTGTCTTATTGATTTTGCCAGAATCTGTTAAATTAAACATATCATAGGCTGATAGTGTAGTCTAGCCTTAGCAACTCTACTGGCTAGGCGGCTTATTCTTATGAATTGGAAGTCAGCAGCCAGCTCCCCCTCCTTATCGCCAATGGGTTTCTGATTTTTTACAAGCTCTCAGGACGGAAAAGATTCGGTTTGCGATAAAAAAAAAGCCTAAACTTTTTTTGAGAGTCTGGAGCCCTTTTCTGAAATATTTTAAGGAGATTTATTAATTTATTCGCTTTCTTTCTTTCTTTATTTGAATGTATAACTATGATTGCCTGAATTAATGTATGGTTGTATGTTATATGTGTATATCTATTATTTATAGTATATTACTATATTTATTTACGTCATTGTTACTTTCTATTTGACCTAAGATGAACCAAATTAAACCTAAAAAAAAAATGTCTTGATGGATTTGTTTTTACAAACATGCAGCTTTTGTCTTCACAAGATGTTAATTTATGAACAAGAGTCGTGTCACCATGTAGGCAAAAATGCATGGTGCTTTAAACACGATATTCTATAGTACTTTCAAAAAGCATGCAATGGAATTGAAGAGCGGGCATTAAAAATGTGCATGCGGTCAAGTATCAAAAAACAGAAACATGGCTTTGTAAATGCATCAAACAAAAACCAGGATTTATAGGATGAACGTTAATCTCACCGGCTCTCCCCAGTTCCTCCTGAGATCTGGATGGTCCCACTGATACCAGGGGTCTCGCTCTTGCTGCGATCGCTCCGGAAGCATGGGGTAATCTCCGTACCTGCGTAACAACAGAGCAAATGTATTTAAATACATCACCAGCCATTCATCTTCCTGGAAACTAAATACATTATTCACTCAACGTGTGCTTACAGACACTCACCCCATGCCGTCATTAGAATAAGGTTTGTAATCTTCCAGCGTCATGTTGTATTTTTTGGCCGACGCTGCCATCTCCTCTGGGCTTCTGGGGTACGCACCGGGTAATGTGTCCTTAGAAGGACCAGACGCTGCAACATTATTATGATTACACATTACACACAATAACAAGAGAAGAAATCTGACAAGAAAAGAGTTCTGCAGACTACCTTAGACACACATGAACAAAAACATGTACAAACTTGTATTTTAGATAGCTAGTTAAGTAATTAAATCTATCATCTAAAAAACATACATCCTATAGTATATAATAATACACAATCAGGTGCACACAAGGCCAACAAAATTGCATATTTTGAAGAAACACACGTAGAAAAAAACATAACACAGAATTTAATTTATACTATGTTAAAACAAAACAGCAATTAATCCTAATGCAAAGCAGTTAACAATTAATTGCATTTGTTTACAATCACGTAAACACAGTATTAGCGGTTCGCTTAGCATGTTAGCTCCGCAGCCTTGACATGAAGGTTATCACTCACTAAATGCTATAAAACGCTGCTTTCATAGCCTATATTCCCATAATATGAAATAGCACATGTGTACGACAGCACCTGCTCTTGTTCCGAGGATAATGTTTGGGATTCCCGGTGTTTTTCCTTTAGTAAGAGCTCGGGTCAAGAGACCCGCTCTGAGGGCCGCCATCTTTCCTCTCTGACACTCCGCAGCGCGCATGCGCGGACTGACGTCACCGATTCTGCACAGAGGACACGCCCCCAATGACGATGTGACCGCAAGTTATTAAATAAATGGTTTTACACAATAAGACATTGTTTTGTATAAATGTGAAGTCAAAACGTTTTTTAGAGTCACTGTGAAAAACACAAGGAGCAAGAATCAATAGAAGAAGTACAAAAAGACATAAAATAAAAATACATTAAAACAATAATAATAAATAATAATGAGATAGTTTGAGGTAGAGAGGCGAATAGAGATTTCAAACTTTCTATTTAGTTTTTTAAAGGAAAGTTTTAAAGTAAATTTTTTTTATTTATTATATAATAATAATAAAAAAAACTTGCTATGTGTAGGCTACTAACCGAGACTTGTTATAGCACGTGCTTATTATAAAACAGTTGTTTTGTTTTTTTATTTTTTTAATTTGACATTGAATTTTGATTCTCTGTCAACGCTGTACTTCTTCAAGACATCCACACGATGGCAACATTGTTAGGATAACTAGCTTTTATTAGTCGCCTGCTGGTAGTTTTGAGCTCATAAACTGAATGCAAGACGTTCTCGCGACCTTCAGACTGACACATTGTAGGCCAGCCGGTCTCGCAGAACTACATTACCCACAATGCCCCGCTGCCCTGCCGCGTCACCAGCGCTCAGCGGAGCATCCCGAGTCTCGAGCGACGAGCAGGACGCGCAAATGATGATTTCTGGCGTTTTCTTCCGCGACAGGTGATGGTTGCACCGAAGAGGAATCGTTCGTTATGGCCCGAGTCGTGGAATATTTCCTGAGGGTGTTCTTTAAGTGAGGAATGTCCGCTGGTGTTTCTTCCATCGGGATTCACGCGCACAGTGCAGGAAGATGAAGAAGCAATTCAACCGAATGCGACAACTGGCCAACCAGACCGTGGGCAGGTAAACACCTTCGCTGCTGATGCGGGACGAATAACGGCGCAAACGGCGATCAGTCGACGTGTCGTGAATATATGATCAGCTTTACCTTATGTATTCACATATGCAAATGTAAAAACGTGAGGTTTAGAGTGGAAATGATAGAATCGGGCTGTTAGCGCGAGGTGTTGTTTGGTCTGTGTGTTTGAGGAGATCTGATGCTGCTCTTGGGTTTAGTGATGGAGTGATGGAGTGGTGGAGTGATGGAGTGGTGTAGTGATGGAGTGATGGAGTGGTGTAGTGATGGAGTGATGGAGTGGTGTAGTGATGGAGTGATGGAGTGATGGAGTGATGTAGTGATGGAGTGGTGGAGTGGTGGAGTGGTGGAGTGGTGGAGTGGTGGAGTGGTGTAGTGATGGAGTGATGGAGTGATGGAGTGATGTAGTGATGGAGACAGACGGGCATCTGTGGAGCGGTCCTGATGTGGGCCTCTAGAGCATCCTTCACCTGTCCTGACCCCAGACCCAAACCTATTAGCCTCTATCTGTCTGTCTGTCTGTCTGTCTGTCTATCTATCTATCTATCTATCTATCTATCTATCTATCTATCTATCTATCTATCTATCTGT